CCACATAAAAATAAGTAAATAAATGAAAAGAAATCATCAAGAATATCTCAAAGGACTGAAATTATAAAAACAACAATACCAAAACATACAGCCTGGGCGTCTTTTGCGAATGTCTCTCAATGGCGTCCTCGGGGAAAATTGGGCCCGCTCACAGCCAACAACTCCTTCCGACATTCAGCCCCCTCTAACCGCTCAGTCCCAGTCCCCCCGGGTTCTGATTTTGTCAGTGGGTGGGCGCCAGAGAGGAAGTCACGGGGCAGCCATGCCTCCCCGGGTAAGGGGCAGCGCAGGCGCATGCAAAGCAGGGGAGGACTCCACAGCCCCGGAACGCCGGAGCCGGGAAGGACTGTTAAAATTCCTTGTTCCAGGTGAGGCCAATAGTGAAACTGCACGCGGGCCCAGTGGAGCGCCGTGCGAGCCTGAAGGAGACAAGAGAAAAAGAGAGTGGGAGTAGGCGTGGCGGCGCTCACCGCGAGTAGAAAGTGGGCGAGCGGAGGGCGGTGAGGGCGAGGGGCGAGTGGTACGGTATCGCTTCTCGGCCTTTTGGCTAAGATCAAGTGTAGTATCTGTTCTTATCAGTTTAATATCTGATACGTCCTCTATCCGAGGACAATGTATTAAGTGGATTTTTGGAGCTTGGGAGTTGGAATAGGAGCTTGCTCCGTCCACTCCACGCATCGACCTGGTATTGCAGTACCTCCAGGAACGGTGCACCCCTCTCGGGGATCTTGACGTCTGGTTTTAATGTTAGACTCAAACTGGCTGTGTGTTTCTTGCCAGTGTCCTTTTCTTTTATTCTTCTGTTTGGTTGTCTTGCTGTCAGGTGCTAGGGCGTGCGTTCGAACATTCTTCTCCGAAGTGTTTTCACGTGTGTCTAGTTTGGTATTTTTCTCTTCAGTCTTGAGGATTCTTAAAGTCCTTGTGTCTCTTTTCTCTTACTCCAGTCCAAACAAAGGGTTTCAGGAGGAATTGTGGTCCTTTCGGTCTCACTTACTTCTAGTCCTAGCGTTTCCTGGTTTGAGTTTGCCATTCTCTTACGCAGGTCTATCCTAATGAAGTGTGTCCCCTCACCAATTAAGCGAGGTCCTAAGCAACTTGGTGAGAACCTCTCAGAATGAAAAGTAAAGGGCTGGGGATGTGACTCGGTGGTAAAGTAACAGATCAATCCAAGCAGATCCACCTGGACCCTGGCCAAAGTCACGGGCTATTCAACTCACTTGTGTATTGCCCGCACCTGGGAATTACACTAGATTGTGGTGACTGAGTGACAACAAAGATGTCACTCAGTGCCCTCAGAAGTTTTATTACTTCCAACGTTAAAGAAAAATTATATTCCTGATTCTTGTACAAGATGGTGAGGCTGCTTTGTCAAGATTGAAGTGGGGCTGTGGTGATAGATAGGTACAGGGACCACCCCAATGTGGGGTGAGATTGGATTCAACTCCAGGGATAAGTGGAGGTTTGCAGACAAACTGCAGAGGGGCAGGCTGGGTGCAGTGGATGGACAATTACTAAGAGAAAACACCTGGGGTTGAGGAGGAGAGCAGGGACACATACTCCTAAATAGCAAGGTAGCATTCGAAGGGTTTAGTCCTTCAAGAAATATTTAGTGGATAGCCACGCATGGCGACCCACACGTGTAATCCCAGTGACTCAGGAGGCTGAGGTAGAAGAATCAAAAGTTCGAGGCCAACCTCAGCAATTTAGCAAGAGCCTATGCAACTAAGCGAGACTCTCGAAATACAAGAAACAAAAAATACTGAACAGCTGCTATGTGCTCCTCCTACTGAGAAAGGAAACAACAACAGAACACAGGTTCCTCTTCCTCTTCTTTTGCTGCTAGGGTATGGGACCCAAGGCCTTGCTCCTTTACGCAAGCGCCCTACCGCTGGGCTATATCCTCAGCCCGGGAGTCAGACTCTTCATTCCAGGCGGCAAGTTGTTCTCTCCTGAAATGGGGGTGAAAAGCTGCCATCCATGGGCACCCTGTAGATGAAAAAGGACTATCTGTGATCCTGCCTTTGAGGTTGAACAGCTAACAAACACTGGGTTTGATTGGAGACCAACAGCGCTTGGCTTCTCGGGAAGATGGTTCCCAAAGGGAACTGCCTCCCATCTAAGGAGGAAGGCTCCAGACCGGGGCTGTGGTGTTGGGTGTGGGCAAGGTGGAGGTGGGCACGTGACTTGCGGGGAGAAGCCCACCAGCGTGCTGAGTCTGGGACAGGAATAGTCTCTGAGGAGATGGATATGTGGGGGAAGCACTACAGTAAGGAGGTGCGCAGGCAGAGTAAGGGTTTCAGGGACCGGCCTCTACCCAGATGGGTACCCTCCCAGGGGGCTGGACCAATCGTGGGGTCCAAAACCGGTTCCTCGGTCCCTGGTCGCCCTGTGCTGTACACCTCTGGATCTTTGCCCAGGCTCTTTTGTCAAACCCCACTGCCCAGATTTCCCTATCACCTGAACGTGCCCCCCCGCTGGAAATCTGGACCGGTCTTCAACCGCTCCTGGGGCCTTCCAGAAGGCCTTCTAGATTCTAGATTCCACCACCGGCCTCCTGTTCCCGTATGCCACTAGGTCTCCAACAAGTTCATCTCTCCAGGTCCCCCTCCTCATCTGATCCTGGTGTTCTGGCCCACTGGGGGAGGTGTCCGGTCCGGGTCCTGTGTGGGAAGCCATTCTCCCACGTGATTGGGCACCTCCCTGATTGGGTGTGAGCCGTTCTGGCCAAACTGTGACTAATCCCCACCCTCTCCAGGTGCGAGAGCCTGTCCGTGTGGGGGTGTGACTGACCATTGACCCTGAGACCAATCACTGACCCTGACCTTGGAATGCTGCCCCCCTTGACCTTCATTGGATGGAATTTTCCCCTGAATTTCTTGTTCCCCAATAAAAGGCCACTCCCTGGTGTGCTCGCTCGCTCTGTCTCCTGCTAGTCCTGAGTAAGCCTTGCTGCCCCACCGGGTGGTTCGAGGCGAGAGCCAGAGGGAGGGCCGTCTGGGACCTGGTCAAAGAAAAAGGTAATTGAGTCTTGTGTGTTTATTTTGATCTCACTAGTTAACTTCTATGCTAGGGACCTCTTGTATGAAACCAGCATGCTGGTCGCGCGGTGGAGTCCTGGACCCGAGGAGGCCGCCAGAGTGGGGCAGGAACAGCCTCTGGCCCATCTCTACTCCCAGCACCAAGTGCAGGCCCTGGGCGAGTCGGGTGGCTGGGGATTAACAATGGTGTGGGTGTGTTCAGTTGGAAACGGGGGCGGTGGCCGGGGTCCCCAAGTCGGGTTGGGGTGCCACCCGGACCCTAGCTCTGCGGTTCAGCCGTGTCTTCCCGGGCAAATCCATTGGCTCGGAAAAAAGATGGGGAGCCTTATCACTCGGCCTCCTGTGTACTCTGAGGGCCTGCCCGCCCCTTAGTAGATTTCTCTACTGCTTGACACCTCCAGAAACGGCTGGCGAAGGATTATCCATCCCCAGGACCCCTACTTGACAGTGAACACTCAGAGGGTAGGAGTCCTGTCACCTCTGGCTGTTGGGCCCTGAACCAGTGCGGTCAGCCCAGGACCCAAGAGGATCATAGTGATACTGAAAGCTCCGCCCTTGTCTCCGTTGCCAGTTCAATAAGGAGGACAAAGTTTTGAGAAAAAGGAAAAAGTTTTCTTAATTTAGCTAGCAAAGGAGAAACACGGGGACGCTCATCCCCAGAGGCTATGACTGTCTCTGCCAGGGGGAACACTGGACTTTTTAAAGAGGAATACAAGGGCTGGGATCCAGAAATTATCTGTCGATATAATCAATTGGTGTCCATCGGGTGTCCTCGAGAAAATCGTCGCTCCACTTTCCAGATTAGGAGCTTGTTGTTGTTGCAATTTTCTAGTTGAACACGGACACATTACCTTTGTTTTACTTCCTTATTTATTTATTTTATGTGGTGCTGAGGATCGAACCCAGCGCCTCACATGTGCAAGGCAAGTGCTCTAGCACTGAGCCACAACCTCAGCCCCTGTTTGTTTTTATTTTATTGTGGGCAGTGACACTGTTCCAGGCGGCAGTGAGGGCAGTGAAGTGAGCTTGGCCTGGAACAGGGCAAATGTTTTAGTCTTGTTGATAGACCCAGTCTGATTCCCTCTTAAAATTGGGAGCCATCCCGCCACAAAGACATGAAAGGCTAATGTCAGCTTTACTATAAATGACTGCAAATTCTGAACTTGCTTGGAAGGCCTGCCCGTGCCTGTGCCTTGAACTCACCCATGCCTGGTTCTCTCTGACCAGATAGCAGCCCTCTCTAGAACTTTAGTGAGGCCTCATAAATCTTGGCCTTCCCTGACCAGATAACGACCCTCTCTGAGGCTCTAATGACCTTCATAAATTCTGATGTCGAGCCAGCAAAAATGTAAACTAGCCTTTGTGTTATGCTCCTCAGAGTTTTGTTATCCATAACCCCCCACCCGCACCCGCTTTGTGTAACTTTCTGGGCTATAAAACTGGGCTGCAAGAAACCTGCAGTGCTGTCTTGTTCCCTCAGTTTTTGTTGGGAGAGACAGCCCCGAGGGTGGAAATAATATGCTTGCTTTAATTTGATTTTAATTGGAGTCAGTGGTCTTTTCTTTGCGTCCTGGTCTAATATTGTTTTCCCTACTGTTAGGGAAGGAGAGAGTTAAGCAGAAGAGGAAAAAAAGGAGGAAAAAGACAGACATGTCATTTTAAAAATAAGCCACGTAGCAGGGTGTGATGGAGCACGCCTGTAATCTCAGCGACTCGGGAGGCTGAGTCAGGAGAATTGCAAGTTGGGAGTCAGCCTCAGCAACTTAGCAAGATCCTGTCTAAAAATAAAAAAGGGATGGGGAGGGGGTTGGGGTTGTGGCTCAGTAGTAGAGCGCTCACTGGGTTCGATCCTCAGCACCACATAATGCTGGATTTCTGTTCTCGCGACTAAAAGGCTCTGGGGTCACTCTAGTTAAACTGGGCTAACTGGGCTGCACGAAATAACCACACAAGAGACACAAATACCTTTTTCTTTGGGGTTGCTGTGACGGCTCCTCTGACCTTAAGGGTCCGCAGAAAGAGAGAGAGCGAGAGCACGCGCTGACCCCTTTTATTGAGGAGAAGCTATTCAAATGAGGCAAGGGGTCAGGTTTCAGGGGGCTGAGTATCTTCATGATGTCCACTGTCAGTAGGTTGACTGACACCTGGGTAGGCCACACCCAAGGGCACAGTAAGAGAAGGGGACACACACAAGGCACTTCCATGGAAGATTCTATCCTTAACAGGGCAAGGGGTTCTATTACAAAGGAACAGGTGAGCATAGCTTCACCCATGGGGCTGTAGCGAGACACACCCATGCACAAGACACCGACCCTCGCATCCAAGAAGGGTGCCACATTTCTGTGACTGAGCGCCTCAGCACCCAGTCGGGGAGTGTAACTCAGTCACGTGTAAGGTTGGCCTCCCACGACATAAAAATAAATAAACAAAATAAAGTTATTGTGTACAACTAGAAAATAATTTTTTTAAAGGGGGTGGGGTGGGGTGGGTATGTGGCTCAGTGGCTAAGGGTCGTGAATTGAGTCTCCAGTACCAAAAAAAAAAAAAAGTATCTATTGCCTTAGACTGTTTTCCACCTGCCCCCATCCCCGGCCCAGACCGCCCCAAAGCAAGCAATCCCAAGTTTGAGGTGTTGAGGACCAGGCTGGAGCGAGTGGCGCTGCCTGAGAACTCCCTCCACGTTCTGGATCCCCTAGAAATTCAAGGTTCAGGTGCAGCGAGGGTGGTCGGGATCACCAGGACACCGCGGTGCGCTTTCATTAAAAGCACAAGGACATCCGGCCAACCTCTGCACACAGCGCGACCAGGGCCCAGCCCATTGAGTGCACGTGGATCTGAGCAAACTCCACGGGAGTGAATCACAAGGAGAAAACCGAAAGGTCAATCATTTGAGGCGGGAAGCGTTCCATTCCAGTGAAGGGGAGCCGCGACGTCCCCTTCTCGGGATGAAAGCACACGGGGACGCGAATCATTGGGCAGATGGCCTGAAGAAGCAGGGAAGTACTGAGAAGGAGCCATCCCAAGCTCGATTTGTCGGGGTTTGGCCGAGCGTGTGGGAGGCACGATCTCATTCACTGAAGAGTTACTGATTGAGTGTGAAGTAGGTGCGTGGAACAAAACCGAGTTCTGGCTTTCCGGAGCTCCTGGCTCCGACTTGGACTCGGAGTCAGCGGCAGTCGCTGGTCCTCTCTGGTCTCGGTATGTCTGGAAGTGGGAGCAGAGCCCGCCCTGGGCTGCCTGGAGACCTGGAAGCGGTCGCCAGGTGGAAGGGACCCACGGTAGCCACGCCTTTCCGGTGAGGGGGCGGGGACATGCAAAGTATTGGAGGGCGCCCCCGCCCCTGAACGCCAGAGCCGCCAAGGGCAGCTAAAATTCCTCGATCTAAGGGGCCAATCGGGAACCTTCACGAAGGTCTAGTAGGCCCGATGGGATGCCCAAGGAGACACCAGGAAAAAGAGAGTAGGAGTAGGCATCGTGGTGCTCACCGCGAGTTAAAAGTGAGCCAGCGGAGGACGGTGAGGGCGAGGGGCGAGTGGGACAGCATCGCTTCTCGGCCTTTTGGCTAAGATCAAGTGTAGTATCTGTTCTTATCAGTTTAATATCTGATACGTCCTCTATCTGAGGACAGTATATTAAATGGATTTTTGGAGTAGGGAGTTGGAATAGGAGCTTGCTCCGTCCACTCCACGCATCGACCTGGTATTGCAGTACTTCCAGGAACGGTGTACTCCTCACCCATGAAGTGTTCAAAAGCAGTTTAAGTGAACTTTGCCTTTCTAGGTCTGTCTTCCCTTTTGTTTATTCTCTTTACTGCTTATTTTCTTCTCTGTGCGTTTCTTGCTTCTTTGCTTTTTCCGCTTCTTCTTTTCTTTCTTTTGAGGGGCGATTGGGCTCCTGAGCCCGTGTTCCTCCATTTCCCTGTTCAGCAACCACTCGAGCCTATCCCAGGTACCTGCCTACTGTTGCTCCTTGATCAGGCCAGAGCCACTCTTTCCTATTTTTTGTCTATCAAATATCTCTCCAACACCTTTGCTGGATGTTGGGCCTACCCCTGCCAACCACTCCCGTGGTCTGGCTCTGGATCTTGTCCTTAACAACTGCTATAAACCTTGTCCACTTCTAGTATGACACTCTCTAACCACCTTCCAGTTGCCACCTTTCACTATTCTTCCTCTGCCTCCCCTTCCCCTGCCCCCAGGGTCCCTCCATCTCCATTTACCTGGATTAATTTCTTTGCATATTTTCTCAGCTCCCTTGCCCCTTTCCTGTGATGTCATATAAACACAGGAATCCTACTGGATGAGGGTCCCACCCTTATGACCTCATTTATCCTTAATCGCTTTCTTACACAGAGGCCCCAGATCCAAACACAGCCCCAGTGGGGGTTTAGGCCTTTACACAGGAATGGGTGTTGGGGCTGGGGGCAGGACATCAACATTCAATCCACAACAAAGAACAACTATAACCCTGGATCCCGCGCACCCTGGAGGTTGAAGAAGGGGTGAGTAACTTTGCCCTCAGAGCAGAGCAGCTAACTCATCTTCTTCTTCCCTACTCCATTCATCTTCCACTTTTCCAGACATCTGTTTCTTACTTTCCTCTCCAACCTGCCCCCCTCTCAGCTGACTGACTACCTTGCTTCCCAAGGAGGAAATCCTGCAGATACAATCAGGAGGCTTCCAGGAGTTCCCAGGACGTATCCACCCACCTCTTAAATCTGTGACCCCACTCCCACCCCCAGGTGCTGCAGATGAGCCGCCACAGCTCCTGGCAAAGGCCTGCCCTGCACCTGGGCACCCCTCCTTGCCACTGGCAACTCTCTCCTACTCTCTTCTCCCTCCTCATCGATATTCGCTTCTGGATTGGACTTCTTCCACCAGGATGTAAGTTGTATTATTTCTTTCCTCCTTAACATAAACTCTACCTACTTCACCCTCTAGCTACCACCCCATTTCTCTTTTTGCAGGAAAATTCCTCCAAATGTTATGGCGAGGTTGCAATAAATCACCGAAAAGCAGGAGACGGAACCATCTGTATTCACCAGCCGGCAGTCCGGACCCACCAGCTGGCAGGCCAAGGGCCAGGCTGCAAGTCCACACCCTTCGACCCCCTCCTGGGGTTTGAGTACACCTTTTATAGTCCAAAACCATATTAATCATAAGTGGCTGTTGCTATGATTCAAAACCACAAACAAATGTCATGGGATCCAAAATCATAAGGAGAAGGGGAAGTGGGTCAAAACCACCCTAGTTGAGTACAAGTTAAAGAATGGTTACTAACGGCTGAGCAATCATTCTCTGAGAGGGTACATTGTCCAAGCAAAATGGGAACCAAAGAGAGAAAAATTTTACATTGTATAGGAATTGCCATTTTGTGTTGCCAAACATGCTAAACTAACTGTTGATGGGTACAGAGGGCGGGGCTTTCCCATGGGACAAGCATTTCTTATATGACATGAGTCTCAGAGTAAAATGAAGTCTGTTTGGTCATTCCCATGTAGCCTGGCCCATAACACAAACAGTCGTCTATATTTTTCCCTCCCAACTTTCCTCTCATCCTCTCTCTACATTATTGAAATAATCTTAAAATAACTTCACACTTGGCGGGGTGTGGTGGCGCATTCCTGTAATCCCAGCGGCTCAGGAAGCTGAGGCAGGAGGACAGCAAGTTCCAGGTCATTCTCAGCATTTGAGCGAGGCTCTAAGTAACTCAGTGAAACCCTGTCTCAACAAAGGGCTGGGGATATGGCTCATTGGTAAAGCGACCCGCCCCGCCCCCGTTCAATCTCCCATTCAAAACACACACACACACACACACACACACACACACACACACGGAAGTTACAAGAGTTATACAGAGAATTTCTCCGTACCCTTTACCCAGGTCTGCCAACCGTCAACAGGGCCACATTTTGCTTTATAACTCTCTCCTTTTATAATATTCTCCCCCCAAACACACACCCACGCACACACACCCACCCATATATTTTTCTTTATTGAACCACTTGTAGGTTGCACATGCAATGTCCCTTCACCCCCCAGATAAACTTAAGTGTGTGTTTCCTGGGAACATGGCCATCTGGAAGTTTGACATGAACACCATACTATAAGCTACACTCCCAAGTTCAGATTTCTTCAGCTATCCCAAAGCGTCCTTTAGAGAGATTTGTTTTCCGGGCCCAGGACCCAGTCTGGAATCCCTTGCTGCATTTAGTTGCCAATTCTCGTTCCGTGCCCTTCTGCCTTTGCGCCGTCTTTCACAACCGGCACTTTCTTTGAAGACTGCAGGATACTTATTCTGTAGAATGACCCTGGGTTTGGATCTTGCCCTCTTTTGAACCTGCCCCAGTCAGTCTCTTGTGCACTGCTCTCCTCAAGGTCCATCTCCAATCCCCCCACCTCACCGGAATCCTTCAGCAGCTCTCTACTGGGTTGGGCGGTCCCTCGTTCTTGAAATACCTTCTGGGCTTGGTTTCCAGAACACCTTGCTCTCCAGATTTTCCTTCTGCCTGTCCTTCTAATGTCCTTGACTGTGGGCTCATGCCTCGGCTCCGCCCTTCTACTTGTGCTGGATGGACACCCTCTCCCTTGGGGAGCTCCTCCCAACTCCTGGCCGAGGGTCCTCACTTCTCTGCTGACAGTCCTCAAAATAGCTCCAGGCTGCAGTCCAGCCTGGTACACCCAGCCGCCTACCTGCCACCTCCTCTTGACTCTCTGGGGCGCCATCTCTAGCTTGTGCTCTCCTAAACTGAGCTGCAAACAGGGCAACACGCACCTCGCTCCGCCTCCACCTCCAGCCTCCTCGACAAACTTGGTCCTCGCCCAACTCAGAATATGACAACCGTGTCCTTCCTTCCAGTAGCTCTGGCCAGAACCGCTGGAGTCACCGTCCACTCTTCTCTTTCACACCCATATGTTCCCCGATTGTCCGCAAATGCCGGCGGCTCTACTTTCAAAATACAACCAGAATCTGGCCACTGCGCACCCCCTGCACTGCCACAACCCCGGGCCCAAGCGCTCACTATCTCTTTCCTGGGAGAACGCAATCCCCCTTTCCTCACCGGCCTTTCCGCTTCTCTGCACTCGCCCCCGCGTCGGGCCAGTCAGAAGTATTAAGTCGTGGTACCTCCCTCTCGCGCCGCGGCCCACGCTCAGAGCCTCTCGCTTTCTCCCCAGTAGGAGAGCCCACAAGTCCCCGCCCGACCTGCTCGCCACGCCCTCTCCCACCGGGTCTCCTCTTGGTGACCCCGCCCCAGCTACTCGGGGGTCCCACGCCGGTCGTTGAACCGGCGTCTGAACCAGCGGTTTCCTCTGCCTTTCCAGGCTCCTCCCCTCCTGCCCTAGAAGCCGCGGACTTAGCTCCGCTAACGGCGTAGATCCTCCGAGGGCCCCCTTTGCCAAGACTCTGTCCACCCCTTGAGGCCGCGAGAGCGTGCGTTCCTCCGGGGACTACATTCTGGAGACCGACACCTCAACCTCCAGAAAGTTGACTTCATCTCTTAAAAAAAGAAAATACTGAAAGATTAAAAACAAAGAAGAATGCTGGGAAGAAAAACCTCGTAGAGTTGTTTGCGTCTTCCTCGTCCAGGAGGAAAATCCTGGTTCCGGGGCAATGAGGCCGGAAGAGCTTTCTAGCAAATTGTTTTAGAGGCGGTGTTCTATTTCAAGGCGAGAGGGCGGGCACCGAAGGCCCGGCACCGCTTGTGTGGGGCGGGACATGCAAATTTACAGTGTCTCTTTCTCCTGGGAGCTATGGGAGCAAAGAAAAAGGTGAAAGTTTCCCCCCGAATAGCAATAATCTGACAACATTTTTATGTTTTCCAAGTTGAATCCTTTATGCACAGTCACACTCGCGTGAGGGTGAGTCTTTAATTGAGCGTGACGGTTCTCACCGTGAGCTGAAGATGTGTGGCGCGACGAGTGGAACGGGTGCCGGTCATCAACCCGTTATCGCTTCTCGGCCTTTTGGCTAAGATCAAGTGTAGTATCTGTTCTTATCAGTTTAATATCTGATACGTCCTCTATCCGAGGACAATATATTAAATGGATTTTTGGAGCAGGGAGATGGAATAGGAGCTTGCTCCGTCCACTCCACGCATCGACCTGGTATTGCAGTACTTCCAGGAACGGTGCACCCCCCTCGGGGGATAAATTCGTGAGTCTAAAATAAGATTGTCTTTACTTGTATGGTTGTGGTGTTCTCGGCGGCTGGGTTGGAAACTGCCATAGTGTGTTTCTTTTTTTATGTTTTCAGTTTGCTACATTTAGGAGGGACGCAGCATTTGTTTCTTTTTCGTTCCTGTTTTCAGCTGGCCTGCGGCAAAAGTCTTAATGTATTCTCGCAGGGGCACCATTGGGTTCCCGTCCTTCTAAAAAGCACGGCCAAAGCAGGGGCTAAGGCTCCACTGAAGAGTGTAATGGGAGTTTTCTCTACGTGAGCGTTTCTTGGTTCCTGCGGGGAGGTTTTGTTTTTGTATAGAGGGCAATGTTATGACCCAGTCCTCATCATTGATAACTGAGGACGGCATGTTATATTGATTTATAAGTTTTATTTAATAGTGATAATGCATAGAAGGTTGGAGGTGCTAAACCTATTGAATTTATCTATTAAACCACAATTACAAAAGCAAAAGGTGGGGAAATAAGACTCCACAAAATAACCTTAATCATTGTTCATTCACTGAAGGTTGCATTACTGCCGTAGGTTTTTTGGGCCTAGTTTGATGAAAAGATTTACAACAGGACAGTGGAAAGGATCAGATCCAGTGATAATGTGGGGTATAGGTCATGATTGGTTTTTCCCAGAAGTTACCATAAGGTGTTATTTGGGTACCATCATATATGGAGGACATGGAGCCAAGGTTCAAATCACTAAAGATAGATCCAGAGATGTCAACCCTGACTCCCAGCAGGAACAGGAAGCTAGTAAGGAGGAAAATAATGAAAAAGACCCTGAGGGACCAAACTCTCAAACTACCATCATGGAAATAACTGAAGAATCTGATGCAAAAGCTGAGCAGATGATTCAACAACAAGGAGAAATTAAGTTTCCAACCACAATGTTTATGACCATGATAGATCTATTGAGTTGTCAGGTAAGTGGGGTCTATGGAGAAATTTATTGGACCTATTTCCCAGATTTTTATGAGACAGTCCATATAGTCCATATATATGTGGACTATATGGACTTTCTCATAAAAAGCCAGTCATTTCAACAGAACAAAACTACCACTACCTTATTGCTCTAATCATTCTGCAATAGAATTTGGCACATTTTGGGACTGGGGTTGTAGCTCAGTGGTAGATCACTTGCCTTGCATGCATGAGGCACTGGATTTAAAACTCAGCACCACATATATATATAAACTAAAGATATTGTGTCCATCTACAACTAATATATATATATATATATATATATATATATATATATATATATATATATATATATATCTATATAATTATATTTATGTAAAAATTTGGCACATTTCCTTAATGGATGGAATGTGTAAATGTCTTGCCAGTCAGTACAGATAGTTTCTAAAAATAGTGGATATATTTTGGACTGGTCTTCAATAATTGATAAAAGATAACTATGTAAGGATGCCATGACCCCTGGATGTTTTGTTGATAATATTCTAACCTTCAGCAAAGGCATTATTCAAAAAGATCTCTGGTGTTTAATTGCAGTGTCTACACTATACAGATGGCCCTCTTCCTGACTTTGTTGGCAGGAATTGCAAAGAGGGTCCCTGCTATGGCTTTTGAACCTGTGTTGAATTTCCTTATGCTTTAATTACTGGAAATGTAAGACTTAAGAATAATATAGATATACTTATAGCCTGTAAAAGATGCAATCTAACTAATTACATCAATAGATTTAATAGAGATGTTAATCCTTCACCAACCCTCCTTTGTCTTACTACCAGTCAACATTTCAGAACCATGGTATGCTGATGCTGGTGTTCAAGTTCTACAACAGATCCATGTTCAGTTAACCAGACCTAAAGGAGCTCTTGGTCTCCTAATTCTTGGAGTGGCTGCTTTAATCTCATTTACAGCTTTTACTGTAACAAGGTCAGTGGCTCTATCTCAGAACATTCAATATGCAAATTTTCTCAATAATTTGGCTCAAAATACTTCCAAAGCCCTCCATTATCAGATAAATACTGATAGAAAGAGTGAAACTAAATTGAATGCCTTGGAAGCTACTGTCATAAATATCAGTAATGAGCTATGCGCGCTCAAGTTTAAATAAAGGCTTAAATGCCATGCTGACTAGAAATATGTCTGTGTTACTGCAGCCAAATATAATGTTCCTATAGGGAACAATAGCCAGCATCTCATTAGGGAGTTCTTCTTGTTCAGAAGGGTGTAAGCCACCTGAGAACTTAAAAGTCTAAAATAATTAGTGAAGAACAAAAGACAGAGTCAGAAATGTATTTACAAAAGTGGAGCCCCTGATATCAATGTTTATTGCTGCACAATTCACAAGAGCTAAACTGTGGAACCAACCTAGATGCCCTTCAGTACATGAAAGAATAAAGAAAATGTGGCATATATACACAATGGAATATTACTCAGCAATAAGAGAATAAAATAATGGCACTTGCAGGTAAATGGATGGAGTTAGAGAATAGAATGCTAAATGAAGTTAGCCAATCCCCCAAGAAAACAAATGTCAAATATTTTCTCTGATATAAGGAGACTGATTCATAGTGGAGTTGGGAGGGGGAGCAAGGGAGGATTAGATGAACTCTAGATAGGGCAAAGGAAAGGGAGGGGGCCTGGGGATAGGAAATATGGTGGAATGAGATGGAAATCATTACCCTAAGACATGTATGAAGATATGAATGGTGTGAATATACTTTGTATACAAGCAGAGATATGAAAAATTGTGCTCTATATGTGGAATATGAATTGAAATACATTTTTCTGTCATATATAACAAATTAGAAAAAAAAAACTTTTTTATTTTTTTTTATTTTTTTTTTTTTTAAAATTTTTTTTTTTTTTAATATTTATTTTTTAGTTTTCGGCGGACACAACATCTTTGTATGTGGTGCTGAGGATCGAACCCGGGCCACACGCATGCCAGGCGAGTGCCCTACCGCTTGAGCCAAATCCCCAGCCCCCAAAAAAAAACTTTTTTAAAAAAATGAAGCCCCTGATAGATCCAGTCCACATAAGAGTTGGAACTATGGGGCTGGGGATGTGGCTCAAGCGGTAGGTAGTGCGCTCGCCTGACATGCATGCAGCCCGGGTTCCATCCTCAGCACCACATACAAAGATGTTGTGTCCACCAATAACTAAAAAATAAATATTAAAAAAATTCTCTCTTAAAAAAAAAGAGTTGCAACTAGACAAAGGAAAGATGGCCCCAATGATTTCAGGGGGTACATCAAAGGCATGGATAAAGTTTCAAAGGTGGAGTCTTGCTTTGTGATGTCTTGCAGTCAGCAGGTTGATTGGCATCTTCGCAGGTCAGACCCTTCTTGGGTGCTGTGTGGGACATGGCAGAGAGGGAGAGAAAATTCACAATGTGGGGTTGGGATTGTAGCTCAGTGGCAGAGCGTTTGCCTGGCATGTGTGATGCACTGGATTTGATTCTCAGCAACACATACCAGTAAATAAAACAAAGGTCCATCAACAACTAAAAAATGTTAAAAAAAAAAAAAAGAAAATTCACAGTGTGTCAGGGCAGTTAAACCAAAGGAAATATGCACTGGTCATTCACAGACACCAGACATTCCTATCCACTAGGCTCAATGCATGGTGGTCCACATGCAGCTCAAGGATGATGGCCCACACAAGCTTCCCAGTGAGACTGGGGAAAAGGTTAAAAATCATCTAATGGGTTTTTGGCAGAGCAATAATAATAGCCTGGGTTTTATGGAATTACATCATCACATCCAGGATATTCAAAAAGGAAAAATGGATATTAGGGACTCTACATCTCTAACTGATCAAATACTTCATGAATTGAATGGCTTTAATCCTGGAAATATGCTGAAATATTCTGCATGGTATATTATTGGAATGATATGTTTGCAACTAATTCTTCTTTGTATCAGAATAAGAATCCAGAAACTCAAATAAGAGCCCATCATTTGAATTTAAAAAGTTAAAAAAAAAAAAAAGGGCAGGGTGGGGAGATATTTGGGAAGACACCTGTGAAATGTGCATGGACAAGACTGGCATGAAAACCACTGAGTAGAAAAATCTGGTATCTGGGAACTTCCAGTGGCACCCCTGCTGGTTTTTAGATGGCCTAGTGCATGTGAATTTCTTCCCAGCTTTGGCAAATTTCCTGTGCAGGGAGTGACCCATTAAGAACTGAGCACTCTACCTGCCCTTCACCCATCCTGTTTTTGCAAATAAGTTTGTATCAAATCCTTTTACTCTGTTCTGATATAAAGCAAGAGTGGGCTTCTTTGTTAGAAGCTGCACCCCTATGGTCCACTCCACTGGTCGCTTCCTCCACTCTGAAAATATATTTCTGGTGTCCTGTGGTTATTTTGTATTACTATTTTCTTAGCTTTTATTTCTCAGCCAGCCCATCCCTCCAGAGGGGAACTCTTTCCTCTCACACACGAGATGTGTTCAAGAGAGCTACATCCCCCAGTCCTTTAAGTTTTTTTTTATTATTATATTATTAGTTGTTGTTGGACCTTTATTCATTTTTATGTGGTGCTGAGAATTGAACCCGGTGCTTTATACATTATAGGCAATCACTTTATCACTGAGCCACAACCCCAGCCCAGTCTCTTAAGTTTTTTTTTAATTTCTTAAAAAATATTTATTTTATTTAGTTGGACACAATACCTTTATTCCATTCATTTACTTTTATGTAGTGCTGAGGATGGAACCCAGGGCCCTGTGCATGCTAGGCAAGTGCTCTACTGCTGAGCCACAATCCCCCACTCCTTTAAGTTTTGAGACCGGGTCTTACTAAATTGCTGAGGCTGGCCTCAAACTTGGGAAACTTCTGCCTCAGCCTCTGAGTTGCTGGTGAAGCAACCTGCTACTTTCTGATTCTATAATCATGCTTGTTCAGCAGCTATGGCAGGATCCAGATCTGCCTGGAGAAATGGGTAGACATCAAGGTTACTGCAGGAGAGTCTTAAAACCCAAAGTCTGTCTGTACTATGTTAAAGATACTGGGTCTGTGCTCAGCCTTTGGAAAAGATTCCACTGAGCCCTCAGCAGTGCTGAATAAATCTTGCTCTTCTGTGTTCCCAAATGCTGCTTGTCTTTCCAGTGCCACAATTTTATGTAACATATGTTGGTGAGTTGGCTAGGAAAATGGCAATTGAGCTGGCCCTTTTTGCCACTGATATTGGGAAACTAGAGAAAGCCACAGCCACCAGCCTGGTGACAGATAGTCACCACCTGGCCACCTGCAGAATCCCAACTCTCACGTGAGTGAGGCTGGCCTCACTATTTCCTGAACAAACTCAAAGAGAACGAAAGCAAGTTTCATGATCGGATATTGTAAACCCATAAGTCCTCTGGGGGCATCTGCCCAAGTCAGGTCCCACCCTATGGCAGAAGGGGAAACTGATTGCTCCCCAGCATCAGGAGTATCCCTCAGAACAGGGTTTGCTTATGCAGGAGGTCTGTTTGTTAGTTCTGGGGTGTGTGTCTGTGTGTGTGTGTGTATTCATGCTCTACCTTCCTCAGGCTACAGAGCCTGAGTGAGTCTTAACCTGCAGTTCCTTGGTGACCTCATAAGGCTTAAGGCAGTGCTAACCCCTAGAGGATCAAAAGTCCCTCTCTGCAGGGTTGGTCTGTCAGGGGCTTATACGGACTTGCCATTGATGCTGAGAGGCACCTACATGTCTGGAAAGAGAGTGGTCAGGCGGACAAAGGTGTGTGATCCTCATAGTGTGACACCATTTCAGAGTGGGAACTTTTTTTTTTTTTTTTACTATTTTTAAAAAAATTTTTTTTTAATATTTATTTTTTAGTTTTCGGCGAACACAACATCTTCGTTTGTATGTGGTGCTGAGGATCGAACCCGGGCGGCACGCATGCCAGGTGAGCATGCTACTGCTTGAGCCACATCCCCAGCCCTATTTTTTAAAATTTATATATGACAGCAGAATACATTACAATTCTTATTCCACATATAGAAGCACAATTTTTCATATCTCTGGTTGTATACAAAGTATATTCACACTAATTCATGTCTTCATCAGAGTGAGAATATAACGGGCAGCTCAGCTTGAAAACTTATATCTGGTCTAGAGACAGAGGATGCTGGCAGGGGAAGACCCAAAACTTCCCCAGATAGCCCTTTGTTAAAACATTTTTTGAAAGTCCTAGGATAAATCAGGTGCAGCAGTGCTTGCCTATAATCCCAGAAGCTCAGGAGGCTGAGGCAGGAGGAGCATGAGTTCAAAGCCAGCTGCAGCAACTTAGCAGGCCCTAAGCAATTCATCGAGACATTGTCTCTAATAAAATACAAAGAGGGGCTGGGGATGTGGCTCAGTGGTCAAGTGCCCCTGAGATCAATCCTTGGTACCAAAAAAAAAAAAAAAAAAAAAAAAAATCTAGGTTAATGCCTGGTTTCTGTTCTCGCGACTAAAAGGCTCAGGGGTCACTCTAGTTAAACTGGGCTAACTGGGCTGCACGAAATAACCACACAAGAGACACAAATACCTTTTTCTTTGGGGTTGCTGTGACGGCTCCTCTGACCTTCAGGGTCCGCAGAAAGAGAGAGAGAGAGAGAGAGAGAGAGAGAGCGAGAGCACTCGCTGACCCCTTTTATTGAGGAGAAGCTATTCAAATGAGGCAAGGGGTCAGGTTTCAGGGGGCTGAGTCTATCTTCATGATGTCCACTGTCAGCAGGTTGACTGACACCTGGGTAGGCCACACCCAAGGGCACAGTAAGAGAAGGGGACACACACAAGGCACTTCCATGGAGATTCTATCCTAAACAGGGCAAGGAGTTCTATTACAAAGGAACAGGTGAGCATAGCTTCACCCATGGGGCTTGCAGCAAGACACACACATTTCTGTGACTGAGCGCTTCAGCACCCAGCTGGGGAGTGTAACTCAGTCACCCTTAAGGTTGGCCTCCCACAGGTTAAAAGGGAAAAAGAACCCAAGAGAGGATGAAATACTGTTGTTTTATTTAGACTCAAGAAGCGTTCCAGGGCTGGGGATGTGGCTCAAGCGGTAGCGCGCTCGCCTGGCACGCGTGTGGCCCAGGTTCGATCCTCAGCACCACGTACAAACAAAGATGTTGTGTGTCCGCCGAAAACTAAAAAATAAATATTAAAAATAATTCTCTCTCTCTCTCTTAAAAAAAAAAAGTGTGTGTTGAAGTGAAGAGGCAACTGAGTTTTAAATAGCCCTCTAGATCCCACAGATCTTACAATTGGAGGCCTTGGAGGTAGAGGGAGATGGAGAAAAAAAAAAAAGAAGCGTTCCAAATGCCTTCAGTGTTCCAACTCAAACTTTAAGCCTCCTCATGGTCAAAATTCCCTGACTTCTGCTTCTGGGAATGATGCCAACAATGAGGGGAGAAGGAACTCTAAGCCAGCTACAGTGGCTCCTACTCCTCCACCTGCCCTGTATCCTTCATTATCCAAGCTAAGGAAATAACTAGAGCACTACCAAAACAATATTCACATTTTGTTATGGTCAGAAGGACGAGGAATAATTTGAAGGACAATAATAACAGCTTGGGAATAATTATGGCCATGTCATTTTTATTCAAAACCTCTGTCTTGTGTAAGCTCATAGTTTCTATGATCAATTCACATTTGGTCCTGCATGCCTAAATTAATACCTTTTGTTCCAATTAGTCTTTTTTGTCCAACTGGAGTTTTTAGTCCTCAAGAAAAAGCTATAAAATATTTGTTTCATGTTTGTTTTATATGTACTTTTATACATCTGTGCATTATGTTGTGTGTGTCATGCATGTGGTATCAATATTGGATTATAAATAAATGTACTTTTAAATTTAATACATGGACCCAAATACTTTTTAGTCCACATAACATTCTTTAAAAATTCAATTTAAATTGGTTTAAGCATATCAAAATAAAAATGTATTTACAATTATTAACCCACACTTTTCTCTAGGTGATCAAACAATAGAGTCTTGGTTTCTATAAAACGTGTTTTTTTGTTTGTTTGTTTGTTTTTGTGTCTGTGTGTGGTGCTGGGGATTTAACCCAGGGCCTTGTGCATGTGAGGCAAACACTCTACCAACTGAGCTACATCCCCAGCTCTCTATAAAATGTTTAAAGTGTAATATCCATTGCTTCTATAGATTTTTTCTTTAGCAGGGACAGATGGCTTTTACTGTTAACTACACTTGTCTGATATCTTGATTTTTATGGGTAACTTAACAATTAAAATTGAGTAATTGAGATTAAACATAATGGGATTAGTTTTCATAAATGTGTTTGTTAGAGGAGACATTCAGTTAATTTACAAACTATATCAATTGCTAAGTAGAAATTCAAGTACTTCTGACTTTTTAATTCCATAAAATAATATATATTTAAGTATCACGTGATATATTTTAGTATCATGTGTAGTTTTATAAATTGGTAAATGAAAAAGGAAAATGTCCCTAATGCTTCCAAGGGAAGCCATATGTGATCAACTGGTAAAGGAAACTAAAACAGGAAGCTTCTTACTAGTCTCCAAAAGTGACCCCCTGAAGAATTTCAGGTGACTAATCTATACACAACAAAATCTTGAGGAATCACCCACTGCTTCGGATCCATGGAGTGCTATATTGGACTATTTATTGTAATGCTTTGGCACTGCCAAATTTAACCTCTCAGTTGCCACAGTTTTAGCCTTAGTTGTCACTGAAGGATTAACAGAAACTGCTCTAGCCAGTTAGTATTGAATTAAAAAGCTCCTATTAACAGTCTAAAACTCATGTGAAAGATTTCTTTGTTGCTATTGGTTGAGCCCCTCACCTTGTGACCCATGTATCACGATTTGATCAGGCCCAAGGTAATGTCACAACCCTACTTTATCATACACATTACTCTCACCAGGAAAGTCTCAAGAATCTACAAGTTGGATTAACGGTCACCACATCCAAGCCCAGACTGGAACAGGTTAAAATCAAGGAAAATTATTAAAGGATGGCTTTGAACTTCAAAGAAAAGTGTCATAGGATTAATCGCTCACACATCCGGGATAAAAATCGGGTTTATTATCAGGAGCCTGACAGGCTATTCTGCAATTAAAAAAAAAAAAAAAAAAAAAAGGAGAGCAAAGCCCCCTTGAATGTTACCTCTTATATGCTGGAATCATGGCTGGGTGCTACGGCGGGTTTAATCTTGACTGACATAGTAAGCAACCCCTAATCTTGTGGGAGGCAAGTTTGTTTCTTGGGAACAAAGAGATACTTTTCTTATCTCTCAAAGGGGGAATAGGGAAACCAGCATGTCCTTTATCTAGGAGAGAACAGGAAAACCAGTACATCCTCATCTCAGGGTCTGGTAAATTGTCTCCTATCCCTCAATGAAAGAACCGGCATCTCCAGGACACTAGGCTTTATTTGGTATTACTTTCTATTTCTTGGGAATAAGAACAGTATTCATAAAGTGGGGGTGGAGAAAAGGAAGATGGTTGCAATTATGCTTTTTTTTGGACCGGGAATTGAAGTCAGGGGGACTGAACCTCTGAGCCACATCCCTCCCCCTCTCTGTTTAAGTAATGCCGCAGTCTGGCTGGGCACGGTTCAGGAGCCACTTGTCAAAAGAAACAAACTTTATTTTTAGAACCACACACCAAACAAAAAAGCTCCTCAGGAAAACCTTCAGAGCCCAACTGCCACCACCGGCTTCCCACAAGCCTCTCCCCCTCCCCCCTCCTCCTGCTCTTGAGGCTGATTGGCTGGGTCGTGTGGGCGGAGCCAAAAAGTTCCCCAATGAGCAGCTCCGTGGTCTGAAAGGGCAGGGAAACAGCCCAATGAGCATCACCGCAGAGGAGCCAATCAGTTGGCAGCTAGAAGTTGCTGGGGCCGCTGTGAGCCAATCATCAGCTGGCAGCTGGAAGTTTGCTGGGGCCCCTTTGGCTGTGGCTCTCAACATCTCCCCCTCTCTGTTTAAACAACAAGCATGTGGCTTAGGGACCGTGCCTGCCTTAGGTTGTCCAATAGTACATATGGTCCTTACCCGTTATCGGATGAGCTGACCTCAAGGCGTCAGCCTCCTGTCTTAGGTTGGTACCATTGCAATTGGATCTTACCCGTCACTGACTACCAGTCCAGTATACAGCCACACCTGTGGATAGGTCTTTGCATCAGTGTGGGGGGGGTGAGGTTCTTTGACTCACCTCTGTTCGCCCCCAAATTTTAGCTGAACGACCATGACAAGCAGAAGGGAGGAAGATACACCAAGCCAATTGAGGGCTCCTTTTGGAAAAATTGTACCACCGATGACATCATCAGTAAAAATACCCCAACACTACCACAAGTCGCTGCACCAACAGATAGTTCACAATGCATACAGGTGAGTTCACAATGCATACAAGTGATACATAGTCCAGGCAAGTTCTGCAAGCAGTTCAGTGATGGCTCCTTTTGGAAAAATTGTACCACCGATGACACCATCAGCATAAATACCCCAACACTACCACAAGTCGCTGCACCAACAGATAGTTCACAATGCATACAAGTGAGTTCACAATGCAAGAAAACAATTTTCTTCTCTCTTTTTTTTTTAGAAAACAATTTTCTTAACAATGTACCTTATCTTCAACAGAATTATTAAATATAATGAAAAAGAAAGGTGAAAGTAAACAAACAGATCTGTTAACCTCCTTTTTTGTTCATATATTAAAACAATCCTCAACAGCTGTTTACCCAATTTAAATTAAACTATTTAAATCACGTGAAAAAAAAATTTGGATCCATTTTTTCATGAGGGCTCATCATATATGATATATGGACATACGTACATTCAAACATATAACACAAAACACAAGTGTGCACACATAATATAATACATACAACACATAACATAATAGTAAAGGCCTTATAACTTTTTACAGGTGAAATCTCCATTACAATATTTTAAAACTCTATAGTCAAAAAAATAGAACTGATCAGCAAAACATTAACGTAGGTCTGTATGAGCTCAAAAAACAAAATAGAACTTCATGATATGGCAAAGGGCAATAATAAAATAGATATTGAAAAAAGCATCCTGGTTCTGTTGCAGATGTAAGAATAGCCAAACTGGAGTTTTGGATATCAGTTGTTATGGATTTGAGCCAAATCATCTTCTTTTTGGTCTGTAGAAATCGCTTTAGTTAATCTTTCTGGAATCCAAATCGGCTGCTGTTCTCCCTGTGGAAACACATAAACAGACCCCCGACTCCTGACAATCACTGGGTCAGGACCTTGGTTAATCTCTCTGGAATCCAAATCGGCTGCTGTTCTCCATGTGGAAACACACAAACAGACCCCCGACTCCAGACAATTACTGGGTCAGGACCTTTCCATTGTCCTGTTAGAATATCCTTCCAAAGTACCTTGGGCTTATGCACATTTTTTGGACACATATGCCTTTCCGCAGCACTAAGTCCTGATGAATCCAAATTTAAAAAGTTTAGAGTAAAAAGGGTTATTTTAAGTTTATCTTTGGGGAATATATACCCCTTCCCAATTCCTTCTTTTTGCTTTAATAAGTACATTTTAATAGTTTGATGAGCTCTTTCAACTATGCCTTGTCCCTGTGGATTGTATGGGATTCCTGTTATATGAGTAATGCAAATGTTGAGCAAAATTGTTTAAAAGAGGTAGAAGTATAACCAGGGGCATTATCTGTTTTTAACTGTTTTGGAACACCCACAGTGGCAAAATTTTGTAAGCAATGAGCTATAACATCTTTAGTTTTTTCTCCGGCATGAAGGGAGCCCATCAAAAATCCAGAAGTATCATCAACTGTAACATGCAAATATTTTAATTTTCCAAATTCTGGCAAGTGTGTGATGTCCATCTGCCAAATATGGTTAGGTATCAATCAATCCTCTAGGACTGACTCCAAGATTAACTTGTGATAAAAAGGTCACACAATTTTGACATTGTTTTATTATTTGTGTAGCTTGTTCCTTAGTTATTTTAAATTGCTTTTGTAAAGTATTAGCATTGACATGGAACTTTTTATGAAAATTTATAGCTTCTTCTAGTGTAGAGAAAATATGTATGTCATGTGTAGTTTTATCTGCTAAATCATTGCCCAAACTAAGGGCTCCAGGCAATCCTGTATGTGCCCTGATATGTCCTGTAAAGAATGGATCTTTTCTGTCCCAGATTAGACTTTGTATAGTGGAAAGCAAAGAGAAAACAGTAGAGGAAGGGGAAATCCTACCAGCATCTTCAAGGGATACTATAGCATTAACTATATACTGACTATCGGAAAATAAATTAAATACAGAATCTTTAAACATCACAAAAGCTTGTAAAACTGCATTAAGCTCTACCTTTTGAGCTGATTGTTTGGGTACTAAAAATGTAAAAGTTTGATCAGGTGTAACTATTGCTGCTGTACCATTATTTGACCCATCAGTGAATATATTTGGAGCATTCATGATAGGTGTTTTTCTTGTCATTTTTGGAAAAATTACAGGATGCAATGACCAAAAAGACAATAAAGGATTAGATGGTAAGTGGTTATCAAATGAAACATTAGATTTGCACATGATTATTGCCCAAGAATTTAACTCATTAGCTAACTCATCAATTTGATTCATAGTATATGGAGTAATAATTTTATTGGGAGAAATTCCAAACACTCCTTTGCTGCTTTTATTCCTTTGAGTATTAATTGTCCTACAGCCTCAGGATACCTAGTAAGAATAGTGTTAGGAGAATAAGATAAATGTATCCATAATAATGGACCTTCTTGCCAAAATACTCCTGTAGGAATATTTTTTGTTGGTAGTACAATAAATAATAAAGGCAAACTTGTATCAATTCTATCCAAATGCATATTTTCCATATATGTTTCAATGATTTTTAATGCCTTTCTTGCTTGAGGCGTTAACATTCAGGGTGAATTTGGATCTGATGGACCTTTTAGGATATCAAATAAAGGTCCCAACTCTCCTGTTGGTATGCCTAGATAAGGCCTTATCCAATTTATGTCTCCTAATAACTTTTGAAAGTCGTTAAGTGATTTGAGTTGACCTACTCGTATTTGAATTTTGGGTGGACGGACCATGGTTGAGGATAATAAAACCCCTAAATAATTAATTGGAAGATTTAATTGTACTTTATCTATTGCTATCTCTAGATTATAATTTTTTAATAAATTTGTAAGTGTGGCATAACATTCTAGCAATGTGTTTTTATCTTTATGTGCCAATAACACATCATCCATATAGTGAAATATTTGTAGTTCAGGATTTTGATTTCTAAGTGGCTGGATTGCTTTGTTAACATAAATTTGACACATAGTTGGACTATTAGCCATCCCTTGAGGGAGTACTTTCCATTCATATCTCTGATGAGGACCTTCATGATTTAGTGCAGGGATAGTAAATGCAAAATGTGGACTATCCTCGGGATGAATTGGAATTGAAAAAAAACAATCTTTAATATCTATAGCTAAAACATACCAGGTTTTTGGTAAAGCAGACAATTGGGGAATCCCTGATTGAGCAGGTCCCATAATAACCATCTCATTATTAATGGCTCTTAAATCTTGCAATAATCTCCATTTACCAGATTTCTTTTTAATGACAAAAATGGGAGTATTATGGGGAGATACGGAAGGTTGTATATGTCCCTCCGCTAATTGTTGTTTGACCAGGTCATGGGCTATTTGTATCTTTTCTTTAGCCAGGGGCCACTGAGGAACCCACACTGGTCTTTCTGATTTCCAAGTAATTTTGATTGTCTCAGTGGCCCTTTCTGAAAACCCAATCCATGTCTATTTGTTTCTTGATCTATTTGAATTGGTGCTGTCATACCTTGTTCTTGTTCTCTTAATCTTTCTTCTTTCCTAAAGCCTTGTCTAGCCCTAGTAGTGAGTGCATTAGGATTGACGTTATTTGTTAATGTCAAACCTAATTGATCTAGGACATCTCGTCCCCATAAATTTATAGGAAGATGATCCAATACATAGGGCTGTATAGTTCCTTCACATCCTTCAGGATCCTTCCAATCTAATACCATTGCACTTCTATGGGGATTAGTTGCCACTCCTAGGCCGCGAAGCATTTGAGTGGCTTGTTGTAATGGCCAATGTTTCGGCCATTCTTGATGAGATATGATGCTAAGGTCTGCACCTGTATCAAGTAGCCCATTAAAGTCATGTCCTTGAATATTTAGTTTTAGCATTGGGCGAGAATCTAGATTTAAAGACAGCATAGCCCAATCTACACCTGTGGAGCCTAATCCCCTGGAACCTCTTTCTACAGTACGACTGGAAAATTTATCATGTAGGCTGGGTATTATTAATAACTGTGCTATTCTATCTCCTGGTGAAATTACTGATATACCTCTTGGAGAACTAGCTATAATTTTTATTTCACCTTCATAATCGGGATCAATTACCCCAGGACTTATCATAAGTCCTTTTAGTGTTGAAGAACTGCGTCCCAATAATAAGCCTACTGTTCCTTGGGGAAGAGGTCCTTTTACTCCTGTGGGAATGATTTGAACTCCCATCTCTGGAGTTAGTACTGCTCTGGCAGAGGCGCAGATGTCAAACCCTGCGCTCCCTCTAGTTTGTCTGATGAGGGATTTAATGGATAATGCATCCTGGGCACTACCTTTATGGTGTTGCTGGGTTCCTCCACTGCCCCGTATATTTGTGGTTTTGGGCCCCAGAGCATTGGGCCCTCCAGTCCGTTTTTTGGCAATGGAGCCTGATGTCTTTCTCCACGATATCGTGGGTAAACACTTGGTCCTTGTCTGTTTTTTGATAACGGAATACCCTCTATGGTGGTTTGAGAACGGCATTCATTAGCCCAATGTTTCCCTCTACGGCATCGTGGGCAAATACCCGGTATTCTATTCCTTTGATACCTAGCCTTGTTAAACCCTCCTCCTATGGGGCAACTCCTTTTAAAATGTCCTGTTTGATCACAATTATAGCATGTTTTTGGCCTGGCATCTAAAGCCTGTTGTACTGCTGCTAAGACTTGCCCTTGTTCATTAATGTCTCTACATAATTTAATATATGTGTTTAAATCTTCATGTTTCCATGGTCTGATGACCTCTCTGCAGCAACGATTTGCTTGGTCATAAGCCAGTTGTTTTATAAATGGCATTGCCTGTTCTGTATCTCCAAATACTCTAGATGCTGTCTGAATAAGCCTATCTACAAGTTCAGCGTAAGGTTCATTAGCTCCTTGTATTACCTTAGATAATTGTCCTTGTAAATCTCCATGCCCCTGTAAAGTTTTCCATGCCTTAATTGCATCTACAGCAATTTGTGCATATACGCCAGGATCATATTCAATTTGTTGCCGTTGACCCTCATAAGGTCCTTTTCCTAATAACATATCTAGATTTCTTTGAGGGTAACTGGCTGCTGCATTTCGCCTAGCTGTCTCCATGCAAAATTCCTCATTGGCAACCTTCCATAACAAATATTGTCCTCCATTTAGCACAGATCGACACATGTTAGCCCAATCTGCTGGCGTCATGTCTAAGTTGGTAATGGATTCGACCATGCTCACAGTGAAGGGTGTTTGCGGCCCATAGGTTGTTACAGCCTCCTTTAATTGCTTCACTGTTTTGAAATCTAAAGCACAGTGAATTCGTTGCCCTCCTGCCTGCTCAAGTACAGGGCATGCTAATCTTTGGGGTCCTGCCTCAGGATTCCGTCCATCAACTAAGGGAGTTGAGGGCCGCTCAGCTGTAGATGGAGCTGTTGGTTGAATTACGCCCTCTGGTGATAGAACGGGGTTAGTAGCAGCCTCCTGTTGTAATTCCCCGCCTGATGGTTGTTTTTCCTCTAAGCTTTCTTTCTTCAAATCTTCCTCTGTCTGACTAGCTTGAGAGACCTTCTCTTTCGCTTGACCTAACATGTTTTCTACCATAGTCTGGACCTCTAACAGTTTACTTAACAGTCTTTCGGTTTGTTTTTTACTAGTTTCTAATCTACTATAAAGGTAACGCAACCCAATAAGATAGCATAAAACAAAACCCAAACAGAATGAAACAAAAACCGAACAAAGAATAGTTGTATCAATTTTCTCTTTCTCAGGGCCGAACAACTTCAAACCTTGAGCCAACCATTTTTCCCAGTTTGCCTGAGAAAATTCTAGGGATAGGCAGCTTGAAACAAAAACAAGATAAATCAAAACGAGAACACATCGTTTTTTGAAATGGTCACCCATTTTGTTGCTTTCCCTCAGGGGCGAGCAATTTTACTCACCTCCAAGCTTCAGGCGTTCCCCGTGCAGGCCGCCAGTTGCCGCAGTCTGGCTGGGCACAAAATCACGAGCCACTCAAGCAGGAACAAAGTTTATTTTTTGAAACTGCCGCCAATGTCCGGTACCGCCCGGGAAGATTTTTTCCACCCACGCGGCCTCCTCCCGGACCCGCAGAGAGAGCTCCTCCCCCGGAACTCCCTCCTACTGTACTTCCCCAACCAATGGGAACTCTCCAGGAGTCCCGTAGCCGGCCTAGGTGAACAGCAGGAGTCCAATATCCATATGAATGCAAATCTTAACATAATCATATCATCTCAATGGCTAGCTGGCGTCACCTTTCGACCAAAAATGCCATGCATCATATACTTGGCTCTTAGCACACCTCCTTTTGGAAGTATTCAAC